AGGTGAAAGGTCCGCAGCTGCCTATCGTTTCCTTTTCTCGTCTCAGAAAAATACGGAGAACAGGGCTGAAGGGTAGTGATACCCATGGGCCACCTTCATACTATGCTCGCGCTATTCTCAAAGCACTTGAATTTATACCGAGGTCAGGCAGCGAAACACGCACTCAGTGGTTGAGACAACCAGAACTGAGAGAGTCCAGACAAGTAGCGCGTTTGGCCATTGTTAGTCGTGTGGCCGACCGTGCGATAAAGCAGGCGGGTCCCCAGCCCCGTTCCTGCGCATTTTTGACCTGAGAAAGTGGCCCGCTGCTGCAGTTACGGATCCATTCACCTCACATATGGCAGAAACGGCAGGTGCCAGGATTTCAGAAGGTAAACGTACAGTGTCTTCGAAGAACAACATACACCTCCTGGAGAAGACAAAGAGGAAAGAGAGCTTGAAGAAAGTTTAATAATAAGTTCTTACATTCATACTAAGCACGCCACTTTTCACGCTGAAAGGTTCTCGAGCGGTGATGCTCAGGTGGATCTTACATGTACGCCGTCGTGTCTCTCCAAAAAGAAGGTAACTTGCCTGAAATTCACAGTAAAGCCTCTGCAGATGAACTTGCGTATAAATTGTTAGAGAAGAGAAGATGAAAGAATACAGCATGAGCCCCCTTCTTCCACTTCTACAGGCTTGACAAAGTGCAATGGATGGGGTCAGATTGGAGTTGGAAAGCATCAAGCTCCATCTAGGTGACTAAAATGTCGAAGGATCAAGCACTCGCTGCTAGGAAACGCCTTCAGGCGTAAGAGGGTGACCCCTGCCAGATAGTTCAAGAACCTTCAGAGAGAAGGATTTGCTCTGATGAACGGAAAATTCTCTTGTAGTCATCTGTAGGTCTACAATCAAACCAGCACCCCGCTCAGAAATCTTTCAGCACAACAAAACCCCCAAAAGCACTTCTACCTCCAGCTCCAAGTCGATATTTCCAACAAGTTGTGCAGAAAACCGGACCGGGACATGAACCTGTAAAGAATTTCATAATTTCAGGTAAACTGTAGACTATCCTTACTTATGCTTGCTGTACTTATTGGCTATAACAACTCACCGTATCACCAGACTCCACACTCTCTGCTCCAACAATCGTCAACTCAGATCGGAGCTCGTCATTCTCGTCAACAAACAAAACCGCTATTGCTTCGGTTGATTGCTGTTCGTTGCGCTTGAAATCCAGTCTGAACATAGTGCTTACTTACTGATATAAAAACGTACTGGGACAACTGGATACGAGTGCAGGTTGATAGAAGCGACTTGCAGTTGCAAAATAGTCCTTTCCGGTCGGCGCATCCTCTAGGGACCAAACGGGCTATCAACAGGAACATGTTCAGGACAGCCAAAATGGTCTCTTCAGGTGAGAAGAAAGAGAAGAGTCCCTGGAGTTAGCTCGGAAAATAAGCCTCTCTAATGGCTACCCCCCAGAAGGCAAATACCCCCTAGACCACCCACTAGGAGTCAACAAAGTCCTGTG